TGCAGGAAGACCACTGCTTCCACATAGAGAGCAAGGCCCCATCTCTGCAGCATGCTGGCAGGGGACAGGCTTCTCTACTCAGGCTGCGGCTGCTTTGAAATAGAAAACGTAAACTGGAGTTATATCCCAACTCGAATATATTAGATTTAACTCACGTGCAGATTGTTTTAGCAAGTACATGCGTTAGGGTGCCCTATACTGCTGGCAGCTACGTTACATGTGGGGAGTGGTGAAGCATTTTGGGTGAAATGCAGATACACTATATTGCCAGAAGTATTGGGACGCCTTTACACGCACATGAACTCTAATGGCATCCCAGTCTTAGTCCGTAGGGTTCAGTATTGGGTTGGCTCCGCCCTTGTCAGCTTTAACAGCTTCAACTCTTCTGGGAAGGCGTCCACAAGGTTTAGGAGGGTGTCTATGGGAATGTTGGACCATTTGTGAGGTCAGGTACTGATGTTGGGGGAGGGGCTCGCAGTCTCCGTTATAATTCATCCCAAAGGTGTTCTATGGGGTTGAGGTCAGGACTCTGTGCGGCCAGTCACGTTCCTCCACCCCAAACTCCCCCATCCATGTCTTTATGGACCTTGCTTTGTGCACTGGTACGCAGTCATGTTGGAACAGGAAGGGGCTGTCCCCAAACTCCTCCCACAAAGTTGGGAGCATGAAATTGTCCAAAATGTCTTGGTGTGCTGATTCCTTAAGAGTTCCCTTCACTGGAACTAAGGGGCCAAACCCAACCCCCTAAAAACAACCCCCCCTCTCCCCATAATCCCCCCTCCACCAAACTTTACACTTGGCACAATGCAGTCAGGCAAGTACCGTTCTCCTGGCAACCGCCAAACCCAGACACGCCCATCGGATTGCCAGACAGAGAAGCGTGATTGGTCACTCCAGAGAACACGTCTCCACTTCTCTAGAGTCCAGTGGCGGCGTGCTTTACACCACGGCATCCCACGCTTTGCATTGCACTTGGTGATGTGCGGCTTGGATGCAGCTGCTCGGCCATGGAAACCCATTCCATGAAGCTCTCTACGCACTGTTGTTGCGCCAATCTGAAGGCCGCATGGAGTTTGGAGGTCTGTAGCTATTGACTCTGCAGACAGTTGGCGACTTCTGCGCACTGTGCGCTTAAGCATGCGCTGACCCCGCTCTGTCATGTGACGTGGCCGACCACTTCCTGGCTGAGTTGCTGTTGTTCCCAGTTGCTTCCACTTTGTTATAATCCCAGTAACAGGCGACCGGGAATATTTAGTAGCCAGGAAATGTCACGGAACACCTGAATCACATGATTTGGAGGGGGAGGGGCCCAATACTTTTGGCAATATAGTATATTTGGCTGCTCGCTTAGCTTTTCTTACAACCTAAAAATGTATTCGCGGCCCATCAGCCCCCCTTTTTTTTTCACCTATAACATCCACGTGGCTGAAGATGCCTGCGGCTCCGCCGCCCTCCAGGTGACTGGTCCGCAGCACCTGACCCTCCATCCCTCCCTGGTCCGGAGGACTTCATAAAGCTTCTTGTTGGCAGAAATCACAGGAGCACTGTGCGCTCTTTGTCCGCAGGACGTCGGGGGTCAGACTTCGCCGCTCTCCTCCATGATAACAGCAGCTGTCTGGAGACTAAATTAACTTCTTAAAATGAAACCTAAAAAAAACCCCCCATCTGCTGCACAAATAATCGCATTTAATTAGAATTTAAAGACCATCTCTAGATACATACACAACCGAGACGCATGTAACTTATCCTCATATCCTACATGCATTATGTATCTCAAACTACACACTGCGCCCCGAACATAAGCTGCTTCCTACACACGCGAAGGCGAATGGCGTTTCTGTGCGGGTTTGTCGCGCATCCAAGTCCGAATTTCCGAATGCGAACAAATGCGAATGCTCATTTAAGGAAAATCCGGATCCGTTTGAAACTAAAAGGGTCATTCACGAAGCTGCTGGAGGCTTTCGGCTGGCTGCGGTTCAACCGAACGTGCTCAGCATGTTCGACTGAGCCGAAGTGAAGAAGGAGTTTGACTCAGCCGGTCCAACTCCTGGATCGGCTGAGCCGAACCTCCGGCAGGCCCGGGAAGGCTATTCGCTGCCGTCCGGCGCCTATTCTCACAGGGGCCGAACGACGCTGAGTCAATAGCCCAATGCCGCCGAGCTATTCTGCTTTGTACTTCCATGGTACCGAGCGGAATAGAAAATCAGTGAGTATTTGGGTGAGTACTCATACTCACCCAAATGCCCCAATACCTTATATTGTAAAGCGCTGCGCAGACTGTTGGCGCCATATAAATCCTGTATAATAATAATAATAATGATACCAAAAAAATGATATCGGTGCATCCCTAGTTAGTGGTCAGATTGTAGTCCATCCCGGGAGCGAGCTCGGAGCGGTGATTACTTTACGACACATTTACCCCCGTAATCCCCGGCCGGGTCAATCATCACTGTGGTCTCCCTGCGCTCGCTCCAGCGCCGGTTGCACATCATTGCCCTGAACAGCGAACAACGGTGGCCTCATCAATGTTTGTCGGCGTGGCTGCTCATAGACTCCACCAGGGGGCGCCTCTCTTAACTCGATTCAGAGACAGTTGTCACCTTATAACAGGAAGTGCCTGAACAAGGACATTCATGGCACGATCACCGGGGATGATTTTAATGAAAGCTGCAGATGTGAGCAGATTAATGACAACTGTTGAAGCTTCTATGAGATTTTTTTTTTGGGGGGGGGGTGGCATCTACGGCTCTTGGCAGCGCCCTTAGGCG